AGCTGAACGTATAATTACGTTGTCTTGTTTTTTGCTTTAGAATAGGAGGTCCCAGATCCATGGGCGATCGGCCCGCTAGGTGGCAGAGTATATAGATGTATGTTTACTTGAATATATACTTAGGTAAGGAATACGGAAAGGGATGAAAGTGGGGCGTTCCAGGTATTTGAATAGTTCTCAGGGCATCGAACGCATCATGAGGGGTCCTTTCGGTTCTCTTCCTTATCCCCCTCTTCTCCCACCTGTTGCTGATGGTAATGCTGGTCCTCCTCCTCCTCGTCTTGCGCTCATTTCCTCCTCGTCCCGCGCTCATTTCCACCCTTCCCATCCTAAGCCCCCTTCCCCTACGCATGGAACAACGAGCCCGCTCGGCGGGGCAACAATCAGCGGATCCACCGCCTGGGTGGGTCCATCGCCGCCCCGAAGGATTGCGGCGTCACGTGCGCGACGGGCCAACACCCCGCGCGCGACTGCGGCGTCGCCAGGGCGGGCGCGGCGCGCGACGCAGCCGCGGGGTTTGCGCGCGACGCCCCGCGGGAGACCCGCGGTGGCATGGAGATCGCGGTGGGAAGCAGTGGCGCCTGGTAGCGCAGCTACAAAAAGACCCTGAACGCGCCGCCGACCACTGGCAGACCGAAGCGCGTCGCGGACCCCAACGGCAAAGGTCCAAGGCAGGGGCCAAGGACGCGGTGAGCCGCGAGGGACATTTACCTCGGCATCTACAAGGCGAGATCGACCGCATCATAGAGGGCGGCGCCCAGAGGGTGGCCAACAAGCACCAGTTCTACGCCGCGGCGGACCAGTGGTGCAGGGCCAAGGAGGTAGTTAGCAACTGCCCCCCTCCGTCAGCAACCGTCAGCCACACTCCCACACGGATGCTGAAGCAAACACACGCGCGAACATACATTCCGACCACTCTCCAGTGTGTGCCACAGTCAGAACATGGCTCAAAGCAATGCGCCAACCCAGACGAGCGCGAGTGAAATATGCAGAGTGTTCTGACGCGCGTCGGCGGCAGCTGCGAGCGGCCGTCGTCGACAACAGCTACGCGATGTGGATCACTGCAGGAGATCGCCATCCTGGATGCCCGCGGCACCCCGCGAGAGGGCAGGCAGCAGCGCGTGAACATGGCGTCGGGAAGGAGGCGTCCGTAGCTCCGCCAGACAGAACGCACTCCGAGGATCCAGAGGCCGCACTTTGGCGGGACGTCGCCCCCACCCCCCCGTTCCGCCATGCAGCGCGGGCCAAAAACCACAGGGAGAAGATGGCGCGAGAAGAAGCGCGCGCGCCGCGTCATCGGAAATGTTGACGAGATCGCCAAGGGCGATACCAACAGCAACCACATCGGATCCAAGACCGCCTCTGGGGTGATTGAGGAGTGGAAGACCAGCGCAATGGCCCTTGGGTCCTGCGACCTCGAGGACTCCAGCGGGCCCTCGGGACCAGTCAGCACAGCTACGGGCTTTGCGACGGCAGGTACAGATGCACCACATGCGAAAGAGCGTTAGACAAGGCCATCACCCTCGCAGCCGCTCTCACACCATGCGCTCCCATCGAGCGAGCGGCAGCCGACAGCGAGACAAGCGCCGCTGTCCTCGACGCTGCTTCCGTGTGCGGTTGGAAATTTCACGACTCCCACCGCTTGTTCTAGACGTCCAAGTCTAAGATGTATGTTTGCCGTTGCTGCGGGAAGACAGCCGCGCGGGACCCTCGCCACCTCGCTGCCCAATGTGTGGGCATCACGCGCAAAGGCAGGGATATTCGTGCCAAGATCGATCGAGGTGGCTTCCCCGAAGCCCCGAGTATCACCACGCATGTGCGCGATGTGTGCGTTGCTGACGTTGCTGCGCCCCCTCGTGGGGCGAGTCGCGGCGGGGTGGCTGGGTGGGTTGGGCGGCCTTTCGCCAGTCGACGAATACTTGACAAGTTCGGCAGCGCGCGCCCCGCCGAAGGTTGCAGCTGCCATGTCCCTCCCATCATGCAGCCGAAGCCTGTGCGCGGTCCGCCAGAGCCATCAGCAGCAGCTTCTCGAGGAGACCTTCTTGACCGTAGTCGCTGATTAGTTGCACCCTTGGGGAAACGCGGTCGAACAACCCCTTGCGTCCATCAGATGGACCCGCAGCACCGCTTCTGACGACACCGATTAGCAGTAGCTGTGTACAGCTCGGCCACCTTGAAGGGGTTTGAAGAGGTCCGCTCGCAAGCTCCGACCCAGTTGTTCCTCCACTTCCTGTGCCTCCCCTCTCCCGCTCCCATCCTTTTTCTTCCCTGGCGCCATCCCCCCCGTCATGATCCCCCTCTCTCGCTTCCCATTCCCCTCCCATCCATCCCATCTCCTCTCCCATTCCCTCCTTCCCTCTGCTGCTTCTCCTGCTGCTTCTGCTGCTGCTGCTGCTGCTGCTGCTGCTGCTGCCAGCTGCTGCCAGCTGCGGGCACTCCGTTGCCGGGCGCGGGCCTCAGATGCCCAAGCCGCAATGCACCAGGGGGGGGGGAGGGCGGCAGCAGCGGCAAGCGACCAGCGGAGGCCCCGAGAAGGGATCCCCCGAGGCGCCGCCCCGCGCACGGTGCAGGCGCCGCCGGGAGGGCTGCCCGGGATGGCCGCGGCGATCCGCACGGGGCCCGTGCTCCCCGCCGCCCGCGCGTGAAGCCCCCCCCCACCCCGGCGCGCGACGGGGGCCTCCGACATCCGACAGCCCAGCCCCCCCAAGGCCAGGAACCAGGAAGCTCGCCAGGGGGGGGCGTCGGAGAGCGGCGTCATGGTGGAGATAATCCCGCCGTCGCGCACGGCGCCCAGCCAGCCTAACTCCTCGAAGGTGCTGAGGCACCCTCCCGTTGTCCTGTGCAGGTGTTGTCTACCCGATCTGCGCTCTAGTCCTGCATCTCTATAGGTCTCGCTCTCATCGCTCACCTGCTGCCGATCTGCCGCCACTCCTCCTCCGCCTCTCGCTTGTCATCCGCCTCCCCTCCTCTTGCTCCCCCGTCCTCCCCCTCCTCCGTCCCTTCGCCGCCATCCCCCCCCCGTCCTTTGTGGGCCCCGGAAACGGCAGGGCGTTTTTTCACCGTTTCCAAAAAAATGTCCTTTGAAAATGGAAGCGGCAACAAAAAAACGGCGACCGGAAACGGCAAAAAACGGCTCCTGGATTGGAACCGGAGCCGGAACCAGTCAAACAACGGCGACGGAACCGGTAAAACAACGGCGTCGGAACCGGCAAAAAACTGCAAAACGGAACCGGTTAAAACACGGCCTTGTCGTTTCCAGGGCCCACTAAGCCCCCGTCCCCTTCTCAGTTCCTTCCCCCTCATCCCCCTCCGTCGTGTTCCCCCCCCATACAGTCGGGGCCCTGAAGAAGGAACCCTTTTCGTTGGGGAGGGGCTCCGCGTTCCTTAAGTGTTTCACAGCTTGCCTCAGGCTTCCCTTCTAGGTTTTCGACAGGAGATCGAAAGCTAACTTATGGAAAAATGGGGCCCCGTTCCCTATCTGGGGTTCCTTAGGTCAACGCCCCGACGGTACTCGCCCCGCCCCCCCTCTCCAAGGCTACCTAGCCCTCGGCCTGGGCTCCAGCTTCCTGAACACCGTCTCCGTCCTCGGAGCGGCGCGCCCGCGGGGGGGGGGGAGCAGCGAGCAACGGAGGCCAGGGGCGAGGGAGATGAGGGCGAGGAGGAGGAGGAGGAGGAGGAGGAGGAGGAGGAGGACGAGGACGAGGAGGACGAGGAGGACGAGGAGGACGAGGAGGACGAGGAGGAGGAGGACGAGTAGGACGAGGAGGAGGAGGAGGGGGAGGACGAGGAGGAGGACGAGGACGAGGAGGAGGACGAGGAGGACGAGGTGGGGGAGGACGAGGAGGGGGAGGACGAGGAGGGGGAGGACGAGGACGAGGAGGAGGAGGACGAGGAGGACGAGGAGGACGAGCAGCTGAGACCAGGGGTGAGGGAGATGAGGGCGAGGAGGGGGAGGAGGAGGAGGAGGAGGACGAGGAGGAGGAGGAGGAGGAGGAGGAGGACCAGAGCAATTCAGCCAAGCATGCAAAAGTGATGCTGCAACGCCCCCTTTCCGTCCCAAAGTCCCCTCCTCGAGCGCCCGTGCACTTGTTTTTCTTTTTCGTTTTCTCATTACGAGAAGCGCACACACTTGAAAGTTCTCCACACATTGGCTTGCCATGTTGGCCAGGGTCCCGCTTTGAAAGCGAACTGCCTTGCATTCTACTGGCGCGGAATCCGGAACGCGAAGAACAGTGGCCATACAGTTCATCGAGACGTCCACTGAGATACCCTTTTCGAAAAAGGACAGCCCCACATTCATGCACACTTGTGGCAATTAACTTCGAGGAAGTCTCAAGCGACAGCTTCATTTCGAAACAGAGCCGCCATTGATCCGTGCAGCGCTACGTGGGTTCAAATGTCTTGCTGTTCAACTTAGAGACACCTCAGGTGATAACCCCATTTTGAAAAAGAGTGCGGTCGTCCTCCATCCTGCCAGACGTTGCATTGAAAAATCGAATGCGCGCGGCTCCGGGACGAGAGCCACATTTCGAAAAGTCTCAATGCCCAATCTTTGAAACTGTTGCAGCATTTGAAGACATGCTCGCGGCGCTAAGTCGAGAGAGCCTCACTTTGAAAAGGAGCCGCCCTCCATCAGTGGAGCTAGCGCGAACGTTTAGGACGAGTGTGCGCGGCACTATGGCGAGAGCACCCTTTTGAAAGCAACCCGATCCATCCTTGAAATTGCTGCAAACGCTTAAGACGAAAGCGCGCGGCGCTAAGGCGAGAGCCACATTTCGAAAATGAGCCGCCTTCCATCCACGAATCTCTTGCGAACTCTTAAAACGAATGTGCGCGGCATTTGGGCGAACCTACCAGTTTGAAAACGACCTGTGCCCAGTTCTTGAAACCATTGCTAACGTGTGAAGACTAATGCTCGCGGCGCTTCGGCGAGAGCTCCATTTAAAACATGAACCGCCCACGATCAGCGAAGATGTTGCAAAGTGTTCAGACAAAAGCGCGCGGCGCTAACTCGAGAGCCAAAGTTTGAACAAGGAGCACCCTCCATCAGCGAAGCTGTTGCGAACTTTTAGGGCGACTGTGCGCGGCGCTATGGCGAGAGCACCATGTTGACAACGGCTTCATCCACTGTTTTAACTGTTGCAAGCGTTGAAGACGGATGCGCGCGTCGCGAAGTCGAGGACCATCCGTGAAGCTGTTGCAAATTTCAAGCTTCAGGGTTCCACATGTTGAGGAAGTCTGAGGCGAAACGCCCAGTCCGCCCTTCCGACACTTCTGGGTGGGGCGACACTGAGGCATTGCTTATGCACGGGGAAGAGATGGAGACGGAGGAGGAGGAGGAGGAGGGACAGAGAGGAGCACGAGGAGGAAGAGGGGGACGAGGATCGCACGCCACTGAGGGAGAACAGAAGAGAGAGGTTCAGGCGGTCAGCCACGAACACACTAGTGGAGGCCCTTCAGGAAGGACCTTTTTGCACCACGGTGCGGATTTGCCGTGGCCCCACAAAGAGCCTCACCGAAGGCCCCAGTTGAAGTGTCCGCATGCTTCCCCCCGCGCATGGCAGCATACATACGTACCCTCACGCTCTGTGGCCCAATAGGGGGCTCCACCGAATACACCAGTGGCAGGGTCCGCATGCGTGCCCCCGCTCATTTCGGCGCACCCCTCGCACGGCTCGTGGCCCCTATAGGGGGCCCCACCGAAGGTCCCAGTGGCATGGTCCGCATGCGTCCCCCTTCCCACGCAGGCACACCCCTCACACGGTTCGTGGCCCCATAAGGGGGCTCCACCGAGGGCCCCAGAGGCAGGGTCCGCATGCGTCCCCCCGCTGGCCACATGGGGGGCTCCACCAGATGTCCCAATGGCAGGGTCCACACGCGTTCCCAAGCCCATTTCGGCACACCCCTCACACGCTTCGTGGCCCAATAGGGAGCTCCACTGAGGGTCCGCATGCGTCCCCCCGCCCATTTCGGCGCACCCCTCACACGCTTCGAGGCCCCATAAGGGGGCTCCACCGAATGTCCAAGTGGCAGGGTCCGCATGCGCCCCCCCGCCCATGTAGGCACACCCCTCACACGCTTTGTGGCACCATCGGGGTCTCCACCGAAGGCCCCAGTGGCTGTGATCACATGCGTCCCCGCCACCCACTTCGGCACGTCCCTCACACGTTTCGTGGCCCCATAGGGAGCTCCACCGAAGAGGATGCGCACCACTGCGGGACCCACAACTGCATGTGCTGGGGTCCTCCGCCAGGATGATTTGTTTCTCGGATCGTGAGCCCCCGGAGATGTCGACCCCTTCCTGGGGAGAACAGAAGAGAGAGGTTCGGGCGGTCAGCCACGAACACACTAGTGGAGGCCCTTCGGGAAGGACCTTTTTGCACCACGGTGCGGATTTGCCGTGGCCCCACGGAGAGCCTCACCGAAGGCCCCAGTTAAAGTGTCCGCATGCGTCCCCCCGCGCATGTCGACCCCTTCCTGGGGACCCGTTTCTCATCTCGAGTGGTTGTTTGATGGTCATGGGGCCGGGGACGGGCCCCCGGAGGCCGAAAACGGCCGCAAACCTCCCCGCGGCGTGTCCTGTCACGACTCGCGGGGTCTGGGCAGTGGTCAGCTCTGCTCCATGTGCCCTCCAGGAGGAGGAGGAGGAGGAGGAGGAGGAGGAGGAGGAGGACCAGGAGGACCACTGCCCTCCTGGATCTCGAACTCCCGTTGCGTGTTCTGTCACGACTCGAGGGGTCTGCGGCGGCGGTGGGCTGCGGCGGCGGCGACGGCGACGTCCGAGGTGCGCCTAGTGCCCGAGCGGCACGCGGGGAAGGCGTCGGCGTTCGTGCTGTGCTGTCTCGCGCTGGGCATGAGCGCGCACTCGATGGTGTACACGAGGCGTTTCTTCTCGCTGCAGTCGTCGTCGTAGTACCCTGAGGTCCAGGCTTGACATGCGTGTTTCGCACCGGGAGTTTGGGCCCAGCGCCAGGTCCCGGGGCCAGCATGGGTCGATGCGGCGAAACATGCAGCAGAAAGAGATATGTCTAGGGTTCCAGTTCTAATTTTCGCGACGTTGCAATTGCTTCGCAACGTCGAAGTTCAGAGGAGGGGGAGGAGGGGGAGGAGGAGGAGGAAGAGAAGGAGGAGGAGGAAAAGGAGGAGGAACTGGAGGAGGAGGGGAGGAGGAGGAGGAGGAGGAGGAGGAGGAGGAGGAGGAGGAGAGGAAAAGGAGGAGGAGGAGAGGAGGAGGAGGAGGAGGAGGAGGGAGGAGGAGAGAGGTGTGGCTGGCACCGAGGAATCGCAAGCAGTTATTGATTGAGGCGCGCGGATTTCGCGACGGGCCCCGCTTCCATGCGAAATATGCGCGCTGCGCCGCCCAGTGAGGCGGCACTTGCCGCGTGTTTCGTCGTGTACTTTCCCCGATCCGTGGATCTGGCGCTCTCGCGCCAGATCCACGGATCCCTAATCCACGTCAGCGTGTGCCCGAAGGCAGGAGGCAGAAAGGGGGGGAGGAGGAGGAGGAGGAGGAGGAGGGAGGAGGGGAGGAGGAGGAGGAGGAGGAGGAGGAGGAGGAAGAGGAGGAGGAGGAGGAGGAGGAGGAGGAGTGGAGGAGGAGGAGGAGGAGGAGGAGGAGGATGGTGGAGGATGAGGAGGAGGTGGATGGTGGAGCGAGGGGGAGGTATCCCTTGGCCTCCAGGCGCTGCGACCGCAGATCGTGACTTGCGGTCTGTCCAAGACGCCGGCGGCACGGGGCCGCGCTTGGGCCCCAAAGCAGGCCAACGATTGCCCGTGGGGATGGGGTCGAGGGATCCGGTGGCCTCCGCTGTGAAAAAAACACGGCGCCAGAGGTCTGGCCGGCTACCCGTGAGAGCGACCGTTCGCCAGAGTGGCCGTCCGCTGCGGGCCCACAGGAGCCTCCTCAGCACTTGCTTGCGAGCTTGGATCTGCCCCCCCCCCCCCCCGCGGCCCCCCTGAAGCTGCACACCACATCGGAAACTGGAACCGATGCATTACCCGTGTCGGGCTGTTCTTCAATCCCAAGACTTGTTGAGGGTCAGGGACGACGTCGGGGTTGTGTGGTGTACATTTGTTTCCCCGTTCTCCCGGGGCAACAACGAAACATGCATACACCAGGATTCCGTATGCACCAGGACCCGCTTCCCTGTGCCAGTGCCAGTGCAGGGCTGGAAGAAGCGTCGGCGTGTAAAGTGTGTTTCCCTGCAGCGGTCACTCCTGCATGGGGCCATTCTGGCGCACAGCCGATCTCCTCATCTCTGTCCAGGCCTGCGGGGGCCGCCCTCGCTGCCACGGCTGGCTCGGAGCACAAGTCAGCACGCCGCTGGGAGCTAGAGCGGGTGCAGCAAACTCGCTTGGAAGGACCACGACAGACAGTGAGGTACGGTAAGTCTCACGGCGAGGCGGAGCTTCGTGGCACGATGGCCCGCCCGAGCCAGCAGCGTCGGGCCGAGGCCTCTGCTCCAGCGCGGGCGCGCTTCGCCGACGTCGACTCGCAGGCTGCTGCGCGGCGCGCAGGCATGGTTGCATCAGGCTCACGCCACGGGCTGGAAAGGGGAGCCCCTAGACGCCAAGCCGTTCTGGCGATACCACCCTCTCGTGCTGCGCGGGTCTCATGGCCCGCGCCTGCACGCGCCACGTCAGCCTTAACCTCGAAAGCTTCTCCTCTCTCCTCCGACCTCCCCTCGACCTCGGAGGATTCGGAGGATGCTCGCACGTTTCGTGCGCCCAACGCGCTAGAACACGGAGAGAGCAGTGGAATGCTGGCGGGTTCACTGTGGCTGGCGGCTCTGTGGCGCATTACACCCTGCGGGCTAAGGCACCAGAGAGGTGCCCAATGAAGATAACCGCACCCAGGACATGCTCTGAACCCCTAGGCACGACAGAGCTTGGCTTGAGTATGCCAGGCCATCCATGATTCCTGTGCCAGGGCACGTCAGGCCACAACCCCCGGCGCTATTTTCGAGGCCACGTCAGGCCAAAACCCCCGGAGTGGTCTCCTAGGCCTCGTCAGGTCGCACCCCCCGGCGGTGTCACGAGGCCTCTTCAGGCCAAAATCGCCAGCGGGATTGCCAAAGGAACCGTGTGTAGAAAGTTGTCAGAACGCTTGGGAACCAGGACAAATCGCGCCCCCCACTCTCGCACCTTCAGAACACCGGTTAGCTGGACAGCTCACCGGTGCGCTGCGGCAGCGACCCGTGGGGCGAACAAATCGTGCCCCCCCAGGGCACCCGCAGGACACCGACTAGCTGGACAGCTCACTGGTGCACTGCGGCTGCGCCCCGTGGGGCGGACAATTCGCGCCCCCTTTGGGGCTCCTGCAGAACACCGGTTAGCTGGACAGCTCACCGGTGTCCTGCTGTAGCTTCGACCTCGTGGCAGCAAAGAGCGACTCGGACTCTGCCACTCGCCCGCTGCCGCACGCTCTGGTTCTAGGTTGTGGCGACCAGCTGGGCGGACAAATCGTGCCCCCGAGTCTGCGTCTGACGCTATTCTGGGGGATGCCAGTTCATCCTCCGACCAGGCGATGTGACGCGCTCATAAATTGCTGGGTAGGCGGCGACGTGACCTGTCGCGAAGCCCCCACCGCCTAACCGAATGCGTCGAACAGAGGTGGCTGTCTCGGGTATGTCGACCACACGTACCCACCATTACACGGTGCCTTCAACGGTCCCCGCCAAGGCTCTGGGACCACAAGGGTTGTCACCCCAACCTTCACGAGTTCTCTTGGAGTGTGGATGGGGACTTGGTCAACGGGCACGCTACCTTGCGTGCCCACGACCGCTCTACTCCCCCGCGATCCTGAGAGCCACTCTCCTCCCCTCAGGCCCCCTCGTTCGGGTTGGCATGGGGCACCCCAAGCGGCTCAACAATCCAGAACGCTTCCCGAGGCGGCCAGCAGAGTGGTCCGCTCATGTAGGCGACGCAAAAGAGAGGAGAGGGGGGGGGGGGGGGGGGGCGATTACGCGGACATTCGCGCGTACGACCGCACGCAAGGCCCTACAGGACGGGTCGCGTTCGCGGCCAGCGTGAGTCACCGCGTGTGGTCGCTATGCCCTCGTGCGCAACACGCGTTCGTCCATTTTGTCGCCCATGCCACTTTTGTGTGTGTGTGGATCCTCCGCAGCTCCCGCGCCTGCCAGCACAATGCGCCACTGCTGCTCAGGGCCCTGGCGCTCCGAGGCTCCAGCGCCGCTCGCTCCCCAAGCAGGGCCACGATTGTCCAGCCGACGAGCCCGCTCCCAACCGCTGTCGCTCCTCGCCTGCCTATTCCCCTCCCCCTTCCCAGGCTCCCCGCCGCTCGCTGGGAAGCAGGGGGGGGCTGCGGGCAAGCGCGCCGCGAGGCCGCCGCGCACAGCTGCGTACCCGCCGCACCGCCGCCGCTCGCTGCGCTTGTCGCCGCCTGCTCCTGTTCCTGCGCCTGCTGCTGCTGATGCTGCTGCTGCTGTTCCCTCCCCTTCCTGCTTGTGGTGTTCGGCAAACTTAGATCGACTGGGATCGTACTGTCATGCATCCTCCTGCTGCTCCTCCTTCTCCTCCTCCTCCTCCTCCTCCTCCTCCTCTGGCCGCTCTGTCCTCCCCCTGCTTCCTCCCTCCAGTCTTCTCGAGGAGGAGGGAGGAGGAGGAGGAGGTGGAGGAGGGAGGAGGAGGAGGAGGAGGAGGAGGAGGAGGAGGAGGAGGAGGAGGAGGAGGAGGAGGAGGGAGGTATGCCCCTTTCCTGCCCAGGTGGTTCCCCGGAGACCCTGTGGGCTTCCTCGTGTATCAGGGCGCCTACAGCCTCGCCGCCGGCCTTCTGGGCCTCGCGCTCTTCGCTGCGCTTGGCAAGCCGCCAGTTGAAAAGGCGGCGCAGGGCGGCGGCGACGGCGCGGCGGCCGTGTGCGCGCGGCCCCGCAGCGTGCTGGACCGCGTGCGGGACTGCTGCCGCAACGCCCAGATGCCCTGGCTGGCAGCCATCTTCCTGGTGCCGCTCTCCTACTCCTTCGCGCTGCTGGGCCTTCGGGAGTGCAAAGATGGGGTCCTGAGGGACGGGGCCGTAAGACGAGAACCTCAAACAGTTAAGGTTCAGCTTGTCGTCGCTTTTTATTCATTGTGTTGCTGCCCTCGCACCCCCCCTTGGAGTAGATCCTGGCGGCTTCCAGGACGCACTGCTGCAACCGGTCGCACCACGCAGAGGTCCAGAGCCAGATCCCCCCCCCTGCCGCCCATTGCCGAAACGCCGAACAAGAGAACGCTCACCTTGTGATCCACCCGGACTGGAGGACCTAACCGGTGTTTTGGCGATTTCGTGGGCCGTCTGCGTTTTCGACTCCGTTTTGCGGCAAGGGCGGATGGAAGACACAGCGAGGGAAGACGAGAGCGAAAACGAGAACGAGAGACGCCGCGTTCGGTTCAGCCCTGTGGTCCACTTCCAGTGGGCCCCGCCTTCGCGCCGCCGAGGCATGTGGTCCACCTGCGCGGCGCGGGTCGGCATGGAGGCGGGCCTGCGGGCGCGGCTCGCCGTCGGCCTGGGCGCGTGCAGCGCGCTCGGCCGCATCCTGCTGGGCGGCCTCTCGGACGTGGCGCCCGCTGGGCGGGAGCGGCTGTCGGAGGGCACCAACTGTAGGCAAGTCGGGCGTGTCCCTCCACAGGAGGGTCGTTCAGGAGTGGTGAACAATATCATGATTTCAGGACTGCTCGTGCATGTTCGATCTGTCTGGAGTGCGTTTGGGTTACTTGTTGCGCTCCCTCCAAAAGCCGCCCGCAGGAGGACACGCCCGACCTAAAACTGGATTCAGAGGAAGGCCAGGTTGGCCCTCGAATGGGGCCCTCGCCGCTACGGCTGGACGCAGCTTGGAAAATTGGTGCGCTTGGACCCCGGAGGGGTCGGGGGGCCGAGTTTGAGCTGCCGCTGCCTCGCCCTGCTCCGAACCAGCTGTGCACCTACTACACCCATCCTGGCCAGGCCGATATCCTGTGCCCAGGATCGGTGTGCAGGCCTTCCTGACCAGGATCGGTGCAGGTACAGTCGGGGCGCTAAACAAGGAACCCTTTTCGTTGGGGAGGGGCTCCGTGTTCCTTCATTGTTTCGCAGCTTGCCTTAGGTTGTCCTTGGGTTTTCGATGGGGAATCGAAGTTTAATTTATTAAAAAAGGGGCCTCATTCCTTATTTAGGGTTCCTTAGGTCAACGCCCCGACTGTATACAGTTGGCCTCCTGGCTCGGGCGGGCGCTAATGCGGGGTGACCCAAATAGGGGGTGAAGAAAAGGGCCCCTGATGGGCCTTTTTCTTCACCCCCCATTTGGATCACCCCCCAGTGGCGCTCGCCCAACTAGGCTGGGGCGCGAGCTCTGCCTCGCCACCGGGCTCCTCGCCTTCCAGCTCGGCTTCGCGTGCCTGGAGTGGGACCAGGGGGCGATGCTGGAGCCCGCCCTTCTGCTGCAGGCCTTCGGCTACGGGGGCGTATTGGCGCTCGTGCCCGCCGCGCTGAGGGCCAGCTTCCCCGCGGAGGACCTGGGCGTGGTGTATGGCCTGCTGTACCAGCTGCTGGCGGTCTCCTTCACGCTCTTCAACAGGCCGGACCCAGATCTCCGACGATCCCGTCTCCTCCATGTGGGCGGTGCTCGTGGGAAAAAACACACAAGACGTGTGTGTGTGTTGTGTGTGTGTCTTTCCCACAGACGTGTGGTTTTGTGTGTGTGTGTTTCCCAAAGACTGTGTGTTTTTTTTTCCCACGGATTTCGGCCTCGGATACCCGCTGTCGGGCCCTGGGGCCATCAAGCAAGTATCCAGGGAGAAACGCCGGCCCCGGGTGAGGGGTCGGGACTTCCGGTTGCGCGGATGGGAGAGACACGGATCGGCGGTCGGATCTTTCCAACATCGTGCGTTCGACCCCTGATCCCAGCCCCTCGGCAGCGAGGAGGCGATTGGGAGGCATCCTGACAATGTACGGCGTGCTGCCCTGGCCATTGTAGAGTTTTCCAGGGCGCCCTCCTAGGCCTTGTCTGACCCGTGCGGGCCCCTTTTGGGTACGAATGACAGATCCGCGGGTGTCACGGGGGGCTTCAAGAGGTGGCCCCGGCCCAGGGCGCCTCCAGGTTTCGACAGCACGCAGCCCAGGAGCGAGGAGGAGGAGGCGAGGAGCGAGGAGCGAGGAGGAGGGGGAGGAAGAGGAGGAAGAGGAGGAAGAGGAGGAACAGGAGGAGGAGGAGGAGGAGGAGGAGGGGGAGGAGCGAGGAAGGGGAGGAGGAGGAGGAGGAGGAGGAGGAGTAGGAGGAGGAGGAGGAAGAAGAGGAGGAGGAGGGGCCTTCCACCCCACGAGGCCCCCATCGGCTGCCCACTCGGCCCCGCGAAGGGTGCTCTGGAGTCCCTGGAGCCTTTGGGGCACCCCGCGGGCCATATTGGGGCGAGCTTTGGGGCCTCGAGGCGATTGTGCAGAATGTGCTCCCTCTCCTTCACTCCCTCGCTGTCTTCTTCTCTCTATCTCTCTCTTTCTCTCTCTCTCTCTCTCTCTTTCTGTCTCTCTCTCTCTCTCTCTCTTGTTGTGTTCTCTCTCTCTCTCTCTATCTCTCTCTCTCTCTATTTCTCTCTCTCCCTCTATCCCTCTCCTTTTTTTGTATGTATACATATAATAACGGGTTCCGGGCCCGGGGGCCCCGGGGCCGCAGCCTCGACCGCAAATGGGGGGACGTCGGACCCAGCCCGCTCCCCGGCGGGCCCCAGGTCGGCCCCCGGAGCGCCCAGACGGCCGTCCAGCGGCCCCAGGCCACCCAGAGCCACCCTGAAGACAACCTCCAGCGGTCTCCGGCGGCTCAAGAGGCGTCTCGAACCGCCCCAGACGCCTCCAAGACGCTCGAAGACCCCTCCAAGAGATCCCCCCAGACGGCCCCCGGAAGCAAAAATAGCCCCCTTCCCTTCGTAAAACGTGCATGTTTACCATATTCGATGTTTGTCCTTCGTACTGGCCTTTACGACCTCGGACTCTCCCTAGTAGACCGCCCCAAGACGGCCCACGAAGCCCACAAGAGAGCCCCAAGACGGCCCCAGAGTGGCCCAGGACAGTCCAAGAGGCGCCCAGGACGGCCCGAACGCGTCCCCGAATGGCCCCAAGAGGGGCCCAAGACGGGAAACCCAACTGAACCTTGCAGCCCCCCCGCCCCAGGAGGCCCCCAAGAGGCCCCTGAGAGACCCCCAAGAGGCCCCAAGAGGCCCCCAAGACGCCCGCGGCAGGCCCCAAAGGGCCTCCAGAGGCCCCCCAAGAGGCTTCCAAGAGGCCCCGCAAGGTTCCCAGGAAGCCCCCAGGAGATCCCCAAGAGGGCCCCAACGGGCTTCTGAGAGGCTTCCCCAGAAACCTTCATGTATGTCTACATGCGGCCTCCGGTCCAAAAGCCTGAGACCGTTCCTGGGACGCCGCCGGGGCCGCCAGGCTCCAACAGCCAATTGAGGAAGCACGGAGATACCCCCAGAAGCCCTTCAGATGCCCCCACGAAGACCCAAGAGGTTCCCAAGACGCCCTCAGGAAACACGACTATGTCACGCGCCTGTGCTTGATAGCGCTGTCCAAGATCTTCTAGCGCGCCCCCGGCCCGGGCTAGAACCATCGCGCGCGCGAAGCGCGCGCGATGGTTCTTGTGTATATATATATGTATATATATGTATATATATGTACCCTCTCTCTCTCTCTCTTCTTTCTTTCTTTTTTACTTATCTATGTCATGATGGTTGGTATTGGTTGGTGGTGCCTTTTTCATATGTGTCGTGTTCTCTTTCTCTGTGCTTACAGATCTACATATACATACATATATATATATATGTGTAAATGTATATACAGATGCGCCCGTTTTCATTAAACCAGCTTGCCATCTTCCGTGGGCAGTCACAGACCCGCACGCCGAAACCGACCCAATTTGAATGACATAGGTTCGTTTTCTATGTTTGAGATTCCGCCACACAACGGGGCTTCTTGTCAATGGCCCGTGGGCATTTCGCTCAAGCTCTTTTTGGACGACCGCCCGTGTCGCCTGTATGGGGCGGATTTCAGACCGCCGCGAACGCTGCGGGCGCTGTGATTCCTGGGTTGCAGTCGGTCGCCGATCAGGCCGAAGATTTCGTTGCAGCGGACTGGGTAGTTCGGCTGTCGGTGCTGACCCCGTTGCTGTTATGCATCGGCGGCTTCATCAGTGGCGTGGTGCTTTGCGTTGCCTATGGCGTCTGCCCTCCTTCGCGCTGGGAGACGCGTCGACCTCCAGTGGGGGGCGCGTGGCAGCTGGCGCGCCCGCGCCCAGGCCGGCGAGTTCGACGCGAAGGTCCTCGAGGAGGTCACGGGGGCGAAGGCAACCGACGCCGCCCTCAAAGCGAAACGTATATGGTTCTGCATGAGCCCTGACTTCGACGTGTACCCCATCGCGAAGGACCAGGCGATGATCACCGGCGTCGAAGAGTTCGACAGTTCGAACACCGTGATGGAGACTCCTCGGGGCGAAGCGACGGGACAACAGGTCTATGGTTGAGAATGGTTGCCCTCTTCGCCAGAGGTCGCGGAGGGGATCAATTTCTTCGGGGTGTCGAAGGCGCCGGGGCGGCGAATGCGAGGGAAGCAGCCACCATCAGCAGTGGCAGCGGGAGTTCCAGCACTTGATCAGGGAAGCGGGGACCTGCCCAACCTGAAACCGCCGTTGAAGGGGCACGTGGTGTCAGCATCTGGCGACTCGTCTGTTGGTCAGCAGCTGGCCGCGACGGACTTGGACCAGTTCTTTTGCTCAGGTGAATTATTCTTGGCGTTGCTGGGCGACGAGATGCTGGACGACGAGATGCTACTCCTGCGGGCCGTCGACCCCGTGAGCGGGGACGCGCGGCTAGAGATGGACGTTCGGATCATGCCGATCAAGTGTTCGTCCAACGGCGAACGCTAGCGCAGCTTCAATGAGGCCGTGCCGCTTCTGAGCGAAACGAAGTGGGACAACTAGCCCCTGTTGAGGCCCATGACGCTCGCCTGGCGTCTCCGGTTCATAGTGGGCCAAAACAGCCAGTCACGGCCCCGTCGGATCAAGTGGTTTACGAGACGGGGTTGGCGGTGGCGGACCCGGAGGTGGCTGATTGCCAGGTGGCGATGCGAGCATTCGAGTTCGGGTTGCGTTGCGACCAGGGCAGCATCAGCGAGATGGCCTCCTTCGAGGCGTTGGCCCGGCTGGCGCAGATTGCGAAGTGAAGGTATCGCGATCGGCTGGCGCCTCGCTGGGCCGACGAGACCTCGGAGGGCGAGCGTCTCTGCGCGGGGGCCGGGGAGACGCGCGGGCTGATCATGGCGCCGCCCTCGCTCGCGGGGCATGCGTCGAGCGAGTTGCGAGCGAGTTGCATCGTGAGAGCGCCATCATGAAGAATAAGAGTGCTCTTCGCGAGAAGCGTCAGCTCTCGCGAGGCAGCGGCGGCGTGGGCAGTGGCGCCATCGAGGCCTTGCAGCCGAAGATCGAGTCCCAGGCCGCGCAGCTTCGCCTGCAACGGGCCCGCCAGGGCGCCGGCGGCGACCCTGGCAGCGGAGGCGGCCTCTGTGGCGGTCGCGGCGGCAGGTGGCGGCGGGGCGCCAGTTCCCTGGGACTTGCTGCCTGCTTCCGTCCCGGGGTGTCTCGGCGTCAAGGGCTCTTCCTCGCGCTGCCGGGCGGTGCGCTCCTTCGCGCGTCACTTGTCGTTCGTCGACTCCTTGACAGTCGAGGTCTTCGCGGCGCTGGGCTGCTTCTACGGACGCGGAGACGGGCCTGATTTTGGCGCCCAGGGCAGCGGGCGTGATTTTGGGCGACGCGCACGTTCGGAGTGCAGTCTAAAGGATCGGCAGTCCTCACATCCTCTCGAGTGCTGCGCGCGCCCGCCCCCGGCCACCTCTCCGAGCTCGGAGGTCCGCCGCCTTCGAGCCCGGCCAGGTCACGCCGCCTACCCCGGGCCAGAAGTGCCATGGCGCTCAACTGCTGCAGGGCGAGGCTTCGATCGCTGGGAGGGCTGGCGGGGGCGGGCGTCGCGGCCTCGACCCGCGGGCGAGCCTGCGATGCTCCGCCGCGGCCCCATTCTCATGCGCGGCGACATCTCGCGCGCGCGGTTCGCCGGGGACTTGGGCGGCGTTGGCGCGGCGCCCCTGGGCCCGCTAAGCGAGGCCGCGCCGGGGGCATCCTTCGCGCCGAAGCGCGCGACGGAGCGCCGGCCGATCCTCGGCGTGCGGCGGGTGGGCATTTCCCTTCTTAGGGGCCCGCGCGCGCCTCGCCCCCCGCCGCCAGCTGCCGGCGGGGCGCGCGCCCCCCCCCCTGGGCGAGGAGCTGGACCTTGCCCAGGAGGGAGTCGAGGGGTGCTTCCACTGCGCGGCCGCCCCAGAAGGCCCCCCCGACTTCTTCGCCCTCCCAGCGGCGGGCCCCCTCGCCCCGCGGCGGGCCCGACCTGCCGCGGCAAGCCCCGGCGGTTAAATTGGCATCGCCCCGACTCGCGGCGCCGCCCGCGGGCAAGAGCGGGTCGCGGCATTTCGGCCGGGAGATCCGCGCCCGGCGCGAGCTGCGCGGCGGCTTCTCGACTGGTTCGCCGATCGAGGATTGGAGGG